CTTCCAAAATAATTGACTTGTTGTCCTTAAACTTGTTTTTCTTTTACCAAGCAGTTTTCTAGAAATAAGGTGCTCACCAGATTTGGGATATTAGAAAGTAGTTAGGGAGTACTGTAATTTGAGTTAGAGGATAAGAGTTCCGGTTCTGACTCCATCACTGCTAAAATATGTGACCTTGGTCCTCCAAATTCATTATCTGTAAAATGGGAATGATATATGAAAGCTGTCCATTTCCCTATTGTAAAACTATGTAGATGCACATGAGGGATTATTATTTGTATTGTCAAAATGCTCTGTTTTGTTAAGTACTAGGTACCTTCATAGGTCAGTGTCAGGATTCCCAAAGCTTTGCTTTCTTTTGTATTGATAGTTGTAGGCTCCAGTGACTCTGCTCTGCTTCCCTCCTTATAGGCTTAACTTCTCACTTCATCCCTAGACACTTTTTTCCTCCTCAGTGCTGGCCAAAGAGTGGGATGTGTTCTTACTAGTCAGTCACCTGCTCCTGTCCCTTGGAGGCACTGTTCACTTTCATAAAACAAGCAGATCACTGTGGAAAACAGTGGGTAACAAAATAAACTTCGAACATGACAAAGGTAGTATAATCTTATGAAATTTCTATGGTCATGGTCCCTGAAGCATCGTTTGTGAGGTTCTACATATATGAGATGTTGACCTGCTGTGGATAGGGCTCAGTCTTCCTCACTCTCGCCTCCTTTATTTCCTCCTCCAGTACTCCCTTCCTTAGAAGAAGGACCAGAAATTCCAGCTTCTAGACCTTTTTTGGGGTTTTTTGGCAATGCCACTCGTCATGTGGGATCTTAGTTCGCCAACCAGGGATTGAACCCCGTGGCCCCACCACCACCAGCGCCCTGCAATGGAAGCATGGAGGCTTAACCATTAGACTGCCAGGAAAGTCCCAGAAAGTGCAGCTCCTAGACACAAAGGCTTGAAGAGCCAATTCAAGCAGAATAATGGTTATTATCTCAAGTAGGTAACTTACATTTCTGAAGCTCTCCTGCCTGTGTGATTCACATCTCAGTGGCCCAGGACATACCCTAACCCCGTTTGGGTATTTCCTGACCAATTATCTCACAGTTTCTGAGCAGCTGTCTAGTCTCAGACACTTAGAATAGCAACTCCAACTCTAGAGAAAAGCAAAAGGTTTATAAAGCCCTTTAAAAAAATCCCTGAGCTTTCTTTAACTGTTCTGTAAGCCCTAATTTCCTTCTGTTTTACATTTTGTCTGGCAAAATATTAAAGTAAACATTTTTTTAAAAAAAGAGAAGCTTATACACCTTCCTGATAGCTTTCCCCTTACTCATTTTTTACCAACATTTAAAGTGTTATCCTGGGTTATCTAATGGCTATTCCAATTGGCTGTTCTATGGAGAGTATGTTAACCAGAAATGGCTGAGACATTCCTAATTGTCAGCTATCCTCCTTGTGCAATTTGACTAAAATATTTGTGATATGGGTGGGACAAAAGATATTTTTCAGACTTCTTGATTATTGCTATTAAATAATATTAATATTATTTTATATTATAATATTTTTCCATTAAATAACCATTCTTATTCCCATGATCATTCATTCACCGGACATTAGCACATTGTATGGAGGAAGCACTCTTCTAAAAGAAAGGGATACAGAGAAGAACAAGATGAGGTAACTATTGTGGGGCTCACCTTATGGTAAGGGAAACAGACAATGCCTGTGTGCCAGGTACTGTTTTAAACATTTGAACACATATTAAATTGATAAATCCTATGAGCTGGTACTATTATTATTCCCATTTTACAGTTGAGGGAACAAAGGAAAACTTGCCCAAGGTCTTATTGTTAAGAAGTTGCAGAACCAGGATATGACCCTAGGCAATGTGATATATGGAATAGAAGGGGAAGTGGCTGGGAGTTGAAGGTCTAGGTTTAAGAGGTATTTCTGAAGTAGAATTTATGCTGCTGATAACCAATTGGCTGGAGATGGAGAGAAAAGGGTCAAAGGTGACTGACCCTCAGTCACTGAGACTGAGAATGCGTTGATAGTGGTGCTAAACAATTTAGACTGTAAATATAGGAGGTGGAGAAAGTTTGTAAGCACGTTGAGTATAAACAACCTGTCTGATTCCTAGGAGCTATGCTTCTGGGCCAGAGAGAAAGAGAGATTCTGGCCATCAACAATAATAATTGTGGTGATGATAACAATAGCTAATTATATTGAAAACTTTTTATATGCCAAGAACTATTTTAAGTGAGTTTACATGTACTAATCCATAGAATCCTCACATTTACCCTATTAAATCAGTGTCATTTCCCCTACCTCTATGCAGGTAGAGAAACTGAGGTTCACAGGGGCTAAACATCTTGTCAAAGTCACTTTGCTTCCTCAACCCTGTTGTTTCATAATCCATAGGAATTGAGGAAGACCAGATAGGAGAAGTTTCTTGTAAGTTGTCCTGGCTAGGAATAACAAGGCTTAGTTGAACCCATGTCCCCTGCATTGGAAGGTGGATTCTTAACCACTGAACCACCACCAGGGAAGTCCCCTCCCCTCCTTCTTAAAATCAGAAAAGGCTGCCCTCTCTGGCATCTCACACTTCACAGTTAATTACACTTCAAACATCTCTCATACATAACCTCTCTAATTTTCTTTTATTCTTTCCCACTCTTGTCCAACTCCTGTACTTGAGAAAACACACTTCATTTTCCTTTTCTGTCACTCATCAAGAACTTTCAGAAATGTATTGAACACCTACCATGTGCCAGACACTATTCTAAGCCCTTGAAATACATCACTGAAAAAAAAATCAAAGATGAAAATCTCTGACTTCAAAGAGCTTACAGTCTAATGGAAATTAGAGTTTTCTTCATCTGACTTCTAGTGTGCTTATGCCTTACTATGTTTCTTCCTTCATTAACCCTAACCCCTACCCCTAAAGAGGCTTCATAGAAGCCTTAGAACTCTGCAGAGAACAATTTTAAATCTTTTAATTTTAAGTTGAGGCTTAGGAAAAAAATGCCTTGACAAAGATTATAGGATATAATTCCTGGGCATCTAACTGCCAGGTCAGTGCTCTCTGCTATACTTGCTGACTCTCCATGTCTGGTTGACCCAGATCTAAAACTGATAACAATGTGCCTAGTGTAACCTCTGACACATAGTAATATGCATAAATATTTAGTGAATGATGAATGTATATGTGAGCAGTTCAACTCATATACTTAGTTCAAAGAAAAGAAATTGTGTTTTGAGATAAAATTGGAGATATTTTAGAGTGTCAGAATTCTCCAAATTCTTTGATAGTGGCTCAGGAATTTTCCTCATAATCTCAATAGAAGATTCATTGTGTGTTATTGCCTATCTAATTATCTAATTAGAACTGGTTTCCTCAATTCCTGACAGTTAATAAATAAAGGAATTATTTGTAGGTTTATCTTTTACTTTTTTGTGTGACTGTATTATAATTTGTATCCTTGCAGGTTGTTCATTTGCTGTATTTTAACTGCATTAGGTCTTAAAAAGGATATTGTGAAGTGACCTGAACATCTCTATGGGTAAATGTAGTTGACATCCAAAACAATTAACTGATTTATGGACTGTCTTTTGAAATGCAACCAAGTCATAAATGAGAAAACTAATTGTAATTGACTTGGAGACAGTGTAATCTGAAATCTGACCAATTAAGTCAAAAGCAAGCCATGAATTCATCTTTCTCACCCTATGTTTGAGTCTCTGATGAATGTAGATAAATCAAAGGAAATCTGGTTGAAGAGGTGCTGGTAGGTACTAATGACGGAAATGATTGTGATGATGTAGAGCAGCTGAATGAAGCCACCAAGTGTTTACTTTCATAAGAGGAAAAAGTAAACACTTAGTGGCTTCATTCAACTGCTCTATGCCATCACAATCATTTCCTTAACTTGGGATTTCTGGTTTTCTTTAATTAACAGTAATATTTTGATGTTCAAACTACCTGCCCTTTGTTGCAAAGCTCCTATATATCCTAGCTCCCCCCTCACCTCCTCAGAGCAGTTCTCTCAGGGTTACTTTAGATGCTGCCTCCTGGGCTTGAAGTCCTAAAATTTCCTGCCAAATAAAACATAACTCTCAACTTTTAGGTTGTGAGTATTGTTTTAGTTGACTATATATATATATATATATATATATATATATATATATATATAGAGAGAGAGAGAGAGAGAGAGAGAGAGAGAGAGAGAGATGAA